CACATGCATACTGAGCTATGAGGCTTCCAGGATTTGCTAGGTATAAAGTAGAAATTGTTTACCGTTCCATTCTTCAGAAGTGTCTGCTCTGGGACTGTGCTGTTTGCCCAAAGCTACATAGGCTGGCTCTTGTCTTGTGGCACATGCATACTGAGCTATGAGGCCAACTTCAGTTTCTCCTGATGGTCTTTTTTAAAAAAACCTGAATAGATTCTTGAGAATATCACTGGAATCCCCCCCCCCAAATGATACACGGGGGGGGCACTGAAGTCAAGGTGTAGAAATCACACACACAGAGAGAAGCAAATACCAATTCAGCATGTCACTTGCGTCCTAAACCCCCATCTCCCACTAGCGATGGTTCTGTTTCCCTGCTAAGCTATGTTGGGAATAAGATTAATGCCAGAGTTTGAATACATTTCAGCAAGCAAACTACATCACCCAGAGTCCTTCAGCCAGAACAATCACTGTTCAAGTTAGCTAGGACGGTGGTTCTCAAACTGAGGTCCCCAGAGATTCTTGGATTGCAACTGCCAGAAGCCATCACCACTTGCTATGCTGGCCAGGATTTCTGGGAGTTGTAGTCCAAGGTCATACTGCCACTCTTTGCTCTGTAATGAGTAAAGAGACATCCATTTCCTCTGCACATTTACTGAGGTTTTGATCTATAAAGTCATAAATGACTTGGATCCATACCAAGATAAAAACACATAGAATTACTTATTTCTTGTTGTCTGAAACCTTTTTTTTTGAAAACCGCAGTCTCTATCATAAGCTAAACAACAAAAATAATAGTAAGTGGAGGCTTTTAGTCATTTATTCTGCCCCTCGCTCCCCCCCGCCCATCTGCAACCTCTGCTTTCCCCTGGCACAACACACAGGTGAGACATTGGGCTACATTCCCAAAAGCTTGGTGGTAGTGTTGGAGAAAATGGCCCATGTTTCCAGAAGGCCATGGAATCGCAGACTACTAGGTAGGAACGTTGACAAGTTTTTGGGTCCAAAGTCTGAGTCTTTGGTACCAAGTTCAAAGTTTGAGTCCAAGTCTTTGGTACCAAGTCCTAAGCCCGAGTCTCTATTAAAAACAAGCTTTTTCTCCCCAGAAAAAAAAGGGAAGGGGTGTGTTCAGGGTCATGGGTTGAGTCCAAGTTAATGGGGGGGGGATGGAGTTGAGTCTGAGTTGAGTTGCCGAAGCAACTTAAGTCCAACTGGATGGTGAATCCCACAACTCAAGTCCCCATCCATGTTATTAGGTCTACTATAGGATTGTGGAGCTAGAAGGGACCAAAAAGGTGATGAAGCCCAACTCAGTACCAAAGTAGGAAATGCAGTAAGATGGATCATGTCAGAATTTTGAAAAGTTCCTTTTTTGGATACGTTTTTGCACTTTGTAAATTCCTTGTCCAAGAATACATCACCATTTACAACACCTTTGCTGGCTTGTACACCTCATGTACCACTTGCTGACACACTGTTCGCAACTAAGCTGTCATCTGCACCTGCTGTTGACTGACTAGTGTTAGTGGATGCAAATACACTTCCCCGCCCCACAAGGAAGGCTCCCATCTCAGTCTGTCAATAATCTGGAGGAAGCTGAGCACACACTCACCCCTGTACACCTAGTGTTAGTGGATGCAAATACACTTCCCTGCCCCACAAGGAAGGCTCTCATATCCCCATCTCAATCTGTCAATAATCTGGAGGAAGCTGGGGACGCGCTCACCCCTGTGTATGAGAGGCAAAAGCGCTATGTTTAATTCAGCTACATCTGGCAGAATGTTCACGTTAGACGGTTGTTATGAAATCGGTTTCCAGATTGGACTATATTTCTAAACATTTTGATCAAAACAGGCAACACTATGCTATGCGCAGAGCATGCTTCCAGTTCCTTGACAGAGAAGAATGATTTCTACAGACCACAGACTTGCAGTCTGTAGAAAACAAGATGTGGAAACAAATGTGGGACAATTTACAGGAATGAGATAATTCAAAGGCATTTGGTACAATCCTATCATGGTGAAAGCACTCAAGCACTCTCTCTGTGAACCTTAACACCTGTCAAAGCAAAGCAATATGCAAGGGCGGTGAAATACCTGCAGACACAATCGGTGGAGCCCTCTTGCACACTTTGAGATGCAAAAACAAACAATGAAACAAACAAAGAAAAAAATTGACTCTTTAGTGTACACTTATTTCCTGTTTTCTGCAACAATGGCTGCAAGGAAGTTAGCAGGGATTTCCCCATAATACTGCAAAACTGGCATGCAAGACAGAGATGATACCCATTGAGGTATACTGGACAGAGTGATGGACTAGGATTCAAGAGGCCCAGGTTTGAATCCTCACTCAGTAATGGAAATTCACTGGGGGAATGGAACTAGTAAAACCATTCCTTAAGTAGTTCACTTACCTTGAAAGCTGTATTAGTAATAATTGTGTGCTGTCAAGTCACGTCTGACTTATGGTGTCCCATTTCAGGGTTTTGCACATAGAGAGGACTCAGCTTTACCATTCCCTACTTCTAGGAGCATCCTGGGACTCTGCAGCTTGCCCAAGGCCCCACAGAGTCCTTTTAATATTGCTATAAGTCAATTCTGATTTTAACAGCATATAACAACAACAAAGACAGAGATTAACTTTCAGTACTTGACTCCAAATGCTTATGAAGAATTTCTATGGTGCATCATAAAATGGGACTAAGACAGCTTCATCAACACATTGACCAAAGATACACTGACTCTGTTCCTAAGTTATTATAATACCGTAGACTGAACCAATAATCATAAAAGCCATTACAAAACCGGGCAATTAAAAAACACTACTTCATAGATGCCAGCGGACCTACAGTCATGGTGGAAAACGTATGCAATTTGGAACCAGCCATGCTTGGAACAAGGCAATTTGATCAAGAGCAGCCAAACATACCTTCAAGCATGTATCTTCTTTGGTCACCTCCGTCACACCTCTCAGTACAGTTAAGAAATCACCTTTGAAGACGTTCTTGCAATCCCAAATGAGATATAGTGGCTACGCATCTTGTGCTCTTTTTCTGAAGATCTGGTGTAGAGCCCACCAAGTCAAATCTTGCATAGAAGTCTACAGATAACCGAATCTGCAAAGCTGGTTACATGTTTCAGACACCTGGTAGAACAAAATCACAATTCCTCTCACCAGGATTGCAATTCAGATAAATCCAGGATCTTGCAGAAGCCAGCTGCACTTCTCTCCTTGCATTCTCCAAACTTTGTGAGACCAGATGAACAGTCCTAATACCCTGCCATTTCCTAGTCCTCTTCATGGAAAAGACTCATAAGAAGAAGGCAACCCATGGCTTCCTTGCCTTCCTCCATCCTTTGTGGCAGAGTACCTACAGTCTTCAGCAGATATCAGAAGCAGCTGTTAAGGTTTGGTGTCACCATCTTTGATATAGATCAGCTGACAATATTGGTGAAATCAAAGCTATTAGCACTGAAAATACAGTGCTGACTTGATGGATGGGTCAAGGTTTTTAAAGACAAAGCTGTTATAGATAATTAGAACAGTGTTTTTTGAAAGGAATTCAACTGGCAACAAAGAACACACTCAGAAAAAATCCTCAAGGAATGCCATTAGTATGTATCTAACAGAAGAAGTGTTAGTGTTGACTCCAATGAAGTCTTCGATTCACAAAATGAGTTCTTGATTAGTTCTATGAAGATGCTGATCTTTTGCTAATTATGAAGCCATTTGCAACTGCTATGAACTTAGAAGCAGTTCAGAAGCTGTTGAATAATAATCTCAATCTGATGGATTTTCGCTAGAGGATGATGCAGTGCTTCTGCTTGACAACATTGATGAAGTTCACAGGATGGCCTTGTTTAATTTCATCCATTTTCTTACAAGATCTAAACCATACAAAAACGTGACAACTCTCCTGGCACTTATTCCAGCATTTATGCCGTATAATGTGGAGGTTGAATGTCTTAAGTGAAGCCGCTAGTGAAGTCCAGAAACAGACTGAGTTGAGTCAGAAGATCAACACGGGTACATGTTTCTCAACATCTCCCCAATTACTGTACGGGATCCAAGAGCATTGATGTTTCCGTGGATGAATTAATAAACGAGGGCACAAAATAAAGACACAGGAAAAGCAAAAGATTGTGTGTGGTTTGGATTAATTTTTTTCAGAGACAGATAAATAACACTCAGCTCTCATCCAGTTGCAGATGATTACAATCCAAAATGTTGAAAGAAAGGAAATTTTGATATGATGTTGTGCAGGACAGATAGCACCATCATCTACGCCTTCTGTGTCGGAACTGCTACGAGACAATTGCACAACTATCTCAACTTTGTATTTGCAGAATTCATTATTTTAATATTTTTGTACTAGTCAGTTAGTTTTAACAAAGTTCTGGTCAAATAAGGTCATGAAGACTGAAAGGTAACATTGGCTGTTGTTTTAATGTTTGGTTTCTTTATTTTCCTCCCCTTGTATTTATTCTAAGAAACAATGTAACCTTCTTTCTTATTAAAGCCCATTCTGTCAACTGCTCAAAACCCTATTTCCTCCTTTACAAGTTATGCTTTGTTTTTTACTGCTGCACAAAATCTGCCCATATTGCATGCTAGAGTAACGTGTGGGAGCCTCTTTATTCACACCATTTTGGTCAGTGCAGAAAACTGGACTTTTGCTTTAATGCAAGGTGACTCTTCTTCCTTTTATAACCGAATTATATACCTAATTTTAACTCTCCTTCAGCGCCCAAAACGCGCGTGTTGAAGTTGTTTTCTGTTATCAACCGCGCAAAATGGGGTGTGTGTGTGAAGAAAAAAGACAGAGAAAAAAAATTATAAGTGTTCGCCTCTCCCTTGTCGAAAACCCCCTTAAGGTTTTTATGGTTGACAGAAAAACTACATTTCCCCTCAGGCCTCGCGAGTTACGTCAGAGCCAGCCGCCCTTCCTTCCCGCTTCCAAGATGGCGCCTCTGCGGGCTCACTTCCGCCAGGAGTGGACACGCCGCGGCGGCGGCGGCGGCGTCTTATGACCGGCGGGTGACTTTTTTTTCCCCCTTCCCAACATGGCGGACAGCCTGCCTTCGGAGTTTGACGTGGTGGTCATAGGAACGGGTAAGTCGAGGGGGGGGGCGTCGCGTTTTCGCTCGCTCGCGTGTCCCCGTGTAACGTGTGAATGGGGGCAGGAAGGTCGAGCCCCACAGACGAGTCGGCCTCAGAGTGGGGGTGAGGAGGACGTTATAGGACATTAATAGGACCGCTAATAGGAAGAAGAATAGGCGGGGGCTGGGAAGGGGAATCGAGGCAGAGGTGGAGGGAGTGAAAAGGAGATAGCAATGGAGGCTGCAGGTCGGTTTTACCTGCACCCATTTTGCCACCTGGTCCTTTCTGCTTCGTCTTTTCCTTCCCCTCCCCTCCATGTTCTTGGTGATTCAAGTATGTTTCTGCACTTATCCATCTTGGTGTATTTGTAGTAACTACTTTGAGAACGGTCCCTGTGTAAAATGTAACGTGGATTTCGTTCCTATGCAGTTGCTGCCTTTCGTGTCCCTCTCCACCTAGCTGCTTGCGTCCTCCTCCCACACACATAGCCATGGATAATCATCATCCTGCCCCTTCGCGCATCTGATGGAGTAAATCAGGCTGGGGGGAGGTATGGCCCACCAGGTGTTACTGGACTACAGTTCCCATCAACCCTGGCCAGCATC